TACACCGAGTCATTCGGGGAACACACATCACATGTTGCTGGTAGTTGAAATGAATGAGAAACATGATGGTTACATCCATCTTATTCATTGTGATTGAATGAATATAAGAAATGGTTTGGATAAAAATACGATGCAAAATAATATTCCTCTCATATTTCAAAAGACTGAATTTTACTTCTGTTCCTTATCTTTATATTTTGATTTCAAAATTAAATTTTGTGATCATTTGTAAAATTGAACGAAAAAGGGGGAAATATGATTTTAATATCACATGCCAATAATTGGGTTGATATACACTTAACAAAACTTCTAAGTGTTCACTTTTATAAATGTCTTTATTTAAAAACTACTAGATAGAATGGTATGATATTTTCAAATAATTACAACAATTGAGTCTTCTCAATAATGGTAGAAAGAAAATTCAATATCACCAATGAAAACCAATGTTCCCCGACGAAGCTTAAAAACAATAAATCTTTACTTTGCGGCATGTGTTTTGTGTAATAAGTATCTTTTTATGATCATTAACAAATGTTAAAAACTGGTTTCACTAAAAAAACACAAAACATAGGCAAAATGACCATTGAGATAGAAGACAGACCGTTGGAATATTGATATCTGGGCCATCTTTGCACCACGTTTTGCTCACTGTTATTTTAGTGCTTAATTGTACTTAATATTTCTTTTAAAAATTATCAAACAGTATCAAAACACAATAAAACAAATTTTTCTATAGGCTGTGATCACTTTTCATCACCAATTTATCAAAATTTGCAAGTTTTTGAAAAAAATTAACCATACCGGAAGTGACCTTGATCTTCTTCTTAGGAGAAAATTTCGCGTCACACCAGGTTAAAAAAGTGTCAAAGTGTTCTAAAAAGTCTTAGAAACATGGAAACAAATAATTTCAATCGTGCGAAAATTAAAAGAAATCGGTGCTCGTGGCAGTCTTATATCAGTTCAAGCAGTCTGAATTATCCTTAAAGCGGCGCACTAACGTGCTAAGCACCCAAGGATATTGACCAAAATGCATTTGTGTGATGATACACTGTCAAATTCCCGGATCTGAATCCCATTGAACACATTTGGGATTTTAAAAGAAATGGCAAAGCCCCTTGTAATTAGAGCGAGTAGTGGGTCTTACTCAATCGATATTTTTTTTGTGTGTGAATTTTCATTTTGAGGGTACACCATTTCCTTGACACTTTGCTAAAAATTCTGACGAGATACTTACATGAAATTTGCTCAACATCGAACTTCAATATGCATCATTAACCGAGAATTAAAGAAATTATTTATTGTTCATTTTGTTCTTTAAAACTTCAAAAATGTTAGGTGAACACTTAGAAGTTTGCTTCAGTGTAGTTTCCTTTGATTGGGATTTTTTTCTGGGGGGGGGGGGGTGTTTGTTTTGGAAGGGTGTCTTTTTTATTTCATAATTTTAAAATGTATAATTCTTATTTAATTTAATTTTATTTTATTTTGAATAAATAATTAAAAACCTCTAGCGATTAGAATAGACCCTCTTACACATCCATATGCAAATGTTATTATTCTTCATCTTTAAAATGAAAGAATTTAAGAAAAAAAAATTAAAACGTCAAAGAGATTTGCTTTGTGTCTTAATTAAAATTATATCTTAAGTGTGGTGTGTTAAATCTGCGTTTTTAGCTCACCTGAGCCGAAGGCTCAAGTGAGCTTTTCTGATCAAAATTTGTCCGTTGTCTGTCGTCGTCGTCGTCGTCGTCGTTGTCGTCGGCGTAAACTTTTCACATTTTCATCTTCTTCTCAAGAAAAAGGCCAATTTCAACCAAACTTGGCACAAAGTATCCTTGGATGAAGGGGAATCAATTTTCAATTGAAGGGCCACGTGATTGAATTATGATTTTGTGAAAAATTTATGGCATTTTTAAAAAATCTTCTTCTCCAGAACCGCTGGGCCAGGAAAGATAATCATGTTCCAGGTAGTGTCTCAAGTTTGTTATTTCAAAAGACCCAAGTTTTACATAGGAATATATAGGAAAAATCTTTAAAAACTTCTTTCCAGTTGGGCCAGGAAAGATGAAACTTTATATCAAGTTTGATTTCAAAATTAAATTTACATAGGAATATATGAAAATCTGTAAAATTGAACCACTGGGCCAGGAAAGATGAAACTCATGGGGATATCCTTAGAGCAGATTTAAGTTTGTTAATATGATCCCCCGGGGCAAAGGTGGGGCCAAAATGGCCGACCCAAGTTTTACATAGGAATATATAGGAAAAATCTTTAAAAAATCTTCTTCTTCAGTACCACTGGACAAGGAAAGATGAAACTCATGTGGAATCATCCTCAGGTAGTGTTTCAAGTTTGTTTCATGACCCCCGGGGCAAGGGGGGCCAAAATGGTGACCCTGTTTTACATAGGAATATATAAGAAAAATCTTTAAAAATCTTCTTCTTTTTATGTGGAATTTATAATTCTTGGGACAATTTAAGTTTTACATAGGAATATATAGGAAAAATCTTTAAAAATCTTCTTTTTAGATGAAACTCATTTGGAAGCAAAATTCAAGTTTGTTCAAATCATGACCCCCGGGGCTAGGGTGGGGCCAAAATGGCCGACCCAAGTTTTACATAGGAATATGTAGGAAAAATCTTTAAAAATCTTTTTTCCAGAACCACTGGGCCAGGAAAGATGAAACTCATGTGGAATCATCCTCAGGTAGAAGATTTAAGTTTGTTCAAATCAAAAAGGTGGGGCCAAAAGAGATTTACATTTGATATATAGGGAAACCTTTTAAAATCTTCTTTTCAAAATTCAAAGCTATGATTTGTGATATTTATATGGAATCATCCTCAGGTAGTGTTGATTCTAGTTTGTTCAAATGATGAACGCCTGGAGGGGGGGTGGAGTAAATTCAAGCCTGATGTGCTCAGGTGAGCGCTGTGGCCCCTGGGCCTCTTGTTACATTATATTATCGGCAAAATGAGTGCCTAATATGTAACACAAACTTCAAATCAAAACGTGTATAAATGCACTTTTAATCATGCAAATAAAACCTGCTTAGGATTAATGAATTAAAAGGGAAAATGTCATTTCAATAAGCAAACACATTGTGACTGGTATTGGCTAATGCCAATATCCTTCGGTATTTTTAAACAGAATGCACTTTACAATAGCTGATTAATCTAAAGGACTCGCTCGAGTTAGCTTAAAATAAATACAATTGCAATCAAAATGAGGTCTTTTGTACTGAAACATATTAGTATCAAAGTACATGTAACTCAGATTGAACCAGTAATGTTATAACAACATATCTAAATTGAAAGGGTTGGGCAATTAGTGCATGTTATACTACAAGTACCTGACGAATGGTGTATCCCTCCTTCTTGTACAGTGTTTTAGTCGTGCAAATCTTGCAAACACATAGGGTACCTCACTTCCGTGGGGGATTTTTACGTTACTACAGTGTACACCATGATTAATGAACTTTATGTTAAAGATATTCTTCAGTGACATGTTGTTTTTAAGACTCTTACAGCCACACCCGTTCAAAATGTTTTATTTGTCCTAAATTCAGGTTTAATCTCCTACATACCTTTCACTGGCAGCGAAAGATGAGTATTTTATTTGAAAATGTAGAAAACTCCCAGGGAGTCTGGATTATACATGTACATCTGGATATTTCATTACATAAACAAAGAAGTACTTGATAACTAACCTTAAAAATTTTATTCAAATATCACAAATACCTTACAAACTTTTGAATTAAAGACATTTCATAGTCTACATATCGAGCATCCCAAACACTATTCTCGATTTTGTTCTTTATCACCCTACAACTATAGTCCTGCTAGACGCTAATAATTATTGACATTAATTTAGTTGATAATGAGGACCTTACGTCTGTGAGCCATTTATGAAAAACAAGAGTTTGACACTTTTTAGCTATAGATTGAATTAATTGTTCTAGTATCAGATATATGTTAAATGTAGTTTTAAGCAATTGAAAGACAATATGAAAAAATCCAATCTCCTGTGCATAATGATTCAAAGGTGAAAGAATAAGATAAATTGCATAGTTAATACGTATCCATAGAGACAAAGCAGGTGAACCTATTGCCTTTATTTGTCATGTTCGTTATTTAATTGTGTTTTAGAGGAACTGTTATTTAATTCTTCAAGTTGTAATCCATTTTATTCCCTCAAGTGGCCATTACTCCCTTTCTCAGATTTTTTTTTTTTAAAAAGCCATTTGACAGTTTTGAGTGTTTTTAGCATTCCCCAAAACAGATGTGTATACATCACTTAAGAATTCCAAGAAACTTTTTAAAAATTTGAAATTACAAAATTATACGAACATTAAGAACATTTAAACTTACGATTTTCAACTTTATTGATGACCATTCCGCACAATGAATTTAATTCGAGACATTTTGACATCATAGACAGACAGATGCTCTTAGAATGAAAACTGAATTAGTAAATTTACCTACCCTGTTTAACACACAAGTACTCTCAGGCAGATATTAAAAAGCTTTAGGTTATATTATGATTGATTATATTATGAGGTGATGGAGGACTACGATCCCTCTGAAGTCAAATGCTGACTGACATTTTTCATACTACTCCGGTAAATGTTAGACCAGTTTGATTTCAAACAGTGATTTATTATTGTGGACGCATTTCCCCAATTATTTCCGAGTCATGGCAAGACGCACACTGTGGGTTTCAAAAGTAGGCAAGGGAAGAAGACTCCTCCATGCAAATGACACCTGATCCCTTGTCTGATGTTTTAGATCCCGTTGTTTCTTTTGCGTCTGATTTTGTTATTAAATGGACATTTAGCTTAAATACTGTTTCTTATTTCGATGTATTTTGATTACGAAATGTGAATTAAGACTTTCAGAAGTATGATTTTAAGAACTTTAATTTTATTCTTTTACAGAATGTTTCTTCTTGTATCCATCTTCTCTTATTTATACAAAAGAAAGATAAAGGAATTTTCACGTAGGAAAAAAGATATAGTATGCCAAATGAAATAAATGACATTCAACTCCATATAAAAGATGTATACATAAGAAGCGAAAAACAATTTCTTCAGGTCATTTTTGTTGTCCTATCATGTGACTTTTTAAGTATTTTCTTTAAGCTGAAAAAGAAAAAAAAATGCAATTAAAACTTCGCAAAAAATTAATATAACTTTACTATTGACCAGAAAGTTACATTACGAGTTTTAAATAAAATAAACTTTACAATGTAAATTTCCTACGATTATTAATAATCTTTTCATAAATTTCATAAATGTAAATGTCGCCCGCGTAGTGTTGCGGTGAATGTTTGTCTTAGTGTCGCGGAGTAAAGAGTTGATCCTTTCGTCTGAGGTTCGAATTCGACTGTTGGACGTGGGATTTTGTCTTTTAATTGAGACTGTGTATTAACCGATCAATAAGTCCCTTGTCGCAGTAAGTGCTGACATGAACAAGATCCTTCACTGCTCAAAGTCCATGAGCGCCTATTATAAGTCAAAATATGCAGCACTCCTCTGGCAAGTGCACATTGTAGCGTCTTCATTTGAGTGAAACATGCTCGAGAGGGCCGTTAAGCAACGAACAACCAAATATACATATAAGTAAGTTGAAGTATTCTTGTAAACTGGAAGTTTATTTGCGTCATTGCTCAAATATAAAAAGTTCTTACATGTAGTATGATTTTGTGAAATGTGAGATACATGTAAGTATATCTGGTATAATTTATCCTACAAATCACTGGTGTATAAAATGAAATATGATACCGTATAAGTAGAATTTTTAGCGAGGAATTAATTTTGGCATTATTAGCGAGGGTGCCGAGATCGCTAAAATTGAATATCGCTAAAAATTAATTTCAATTTATTTGATATGACTTCTTTAACATTTATTTCAAAATCGCTAAAATAACATCTCGCTAAAAATTAATTTCCCGTTTTTCAGGACAAATCGCTAAATTTGCGTTTCGCTAAAATTTCCACTTATACAGTAATACTTACAGTTTTCAATTCTATCTTCAGTCGAGAGATTTCCTGACCTAGCAACTCCTTTTCTCTTTGTAGATTGCTTTCACTAACCTAAAAATAAAAAAATGCAAAAATATTTACAATTGAATAAATGCTTTAGTCCAATGACCAGTTAATATTGACTATAGATTATATTCCCTTCCTTACAGATCTCCTATTCTTATTTACATTGCAAGAATTAGAATCTAAAAAAACAACATTCAAATTATCATTCAAATGTTATATCACTAGCTTTAAAGCAAGCTCCTTCTACAATGTGTCAATTAGACTTTTTTTCGATTGTAACAGATAACAAAACTCAAAGTTTAGCAGAACTTTTAAATGATGTGTCTTTAGACAAACCATGCAAAATAAATCTTCATTTCTTCGACAAAGGATGCCAAGATAATCTTAAAATATATTTTGAGAAGACGTCTAAATAATATAATGGGCACATATATCATTCTTAATAGATTTATAGTCAATGTGATGCAGTGGTTAGAGCATCTTCTCTAGAGTCGCGGAGTAATGAGTTGATCCTTACATTAAGTACTCGAATTCCACTGTGGGACGTGCAGACATGTCGTTTGGATAGGACGGTTTAAACCGAGATTTTGTGTCGCAGTTGGTGATGATACAATAAAGACCTCTCACTACCCAATGGCAATGAGTGTCAAGTATAGGAAAAAATGTTGTAATTTTCCTCAGCAAGTGGTGGCATCTGCATTTGAATGAAAAATTTCTCGGGATGGACTTTAAACAACGAAAAATCAAACTGATTATCCCTTGATTTCGAGGTATAATCCTAAATTAATATACATGTGGTTCATGCATGAAAATATTACCTTACGATTAATATTATAAAAATGAAAAGTGCTAAATAAGCGCTTAAAGTGACCAATCAAAACTGCCAAAACCTTCGTTGAATTCACTGACTGTATATCTAATTCTGCTTTAGATAAAATTTATTCCATAAAAACTTACCCGATGGCGTCCCCTGTTCCGTATTATAGCAGTCAGTGTGTAAAGAATCGGATTAATTGCAGAATTTACAGGTAAAACAAGCACTTTGATCCAAGCGTAGATTTCCAGTGTCACATCTGTTCCGGAAAAGGTCAACATTCCTATCATCAGTAAAGAAAAGGTTATGAATATATTAAATGTTTATTTTCAATTGATAAGCTGAAGCAAAGAAACGTAGACCTGTGTATTAAAGACAGATGCTTTCGACATACTTTCTTTATTTTCTAATGACATATGTCATTTTTGTCAATCTAAGAGTTTGAGGTCCATTTATAATTGCATCATTAAAATTCCTTTAACAGGAAAAGAAATTATACTATTTCATGAAAGTGGAGGCAAAAGGAAATAGATTTAAAGCGCAACTTGAGCCGTTTCTATACATTCGATATTTAACAATGGAATAAGTTGGTTCAATTCGACGTTTATGTCTGCGAAAAATTCAATGTTGACTTCATTTACTCAGTCAAAATTATTTTTGCTTCCTACAGTTTTGATTTAAAAATTTAAGTGAAATAAGATAAAAATGATAATCAAACTATAAATGGGAAGGGCAAATATACTGTGAATAGATAATACGTAGCGGGAAGTAAGACTGCTGGAAGGTTGTGACCATTTTCAGATTATTTTTATCTCCTTTACAAGAGAAGTAACATATAAAGATAAACAAAATGAATTAAATTTAAAGACAGAAATGTATATTTCCTTGCCAAAAGATAACTAACAGCTTAGGATATACATGTATATAAAAATATAAGTTATATCTGGAGGTAAATTGATTTACACATAGATTCCTGGAATAATGTACTATCCCAAACTATAACAAGTGTTTTAAAAGACATTCATCAATAAATTTACGCATCGTTAAAAATGGGTAAAATATTTTCCAATACAGAGTGTACATATCTATTGCAAACTTTTCTAGAAATAATCTGCCTTTTTGATTAATATTTAAACTGTACTCATATTATTTTTTAAATGTAATGGATAACTATTACGACATCTACAAAATGTTTATGTAAAGTAAAGCGCGTAAGCTCACCGATTATTCCTATAGGTATCCAGCAAAGAAGATCAGTGACAACCAAGGCTACAACAGACTTGGCGAGAGTTACCTCCCTTCGACGTATGTTTGAGGCCTGACTATTGCTTCCGGATTTTATTACTTCATACAGGATAAGAAATTGTCCAAAAATGATGCCAAGAAATATAAGGAAATTTAAGCCAATGAAAATAATCATTGAATATTGCCAACCAAGCTGCCTATGGACTGATAATGGCAGAGATATACAAACAGGAGATTGTGCATAAAAGTCTTCAAACATTGACAAATTAAATGGCAATACAGGAAGCAAAGACAAAGAAATAGCAATAATCCATGCCAATACAGATGATCCTATCACCAACACCTTATTACGTCTTGAAAAGGGAAATTTGATAGCTACCACCCTATCTATGGTTATCAACAAAACAAAAAGTGCAGATGCTTCGCTTGATACTGTGGCCAAAATCCCTGCAAAAGTACAGAGAGAACTATGTCGCCAAAAATAATCCTCAAATCCATATTTCCCTGCATATACCAAATTAGTAATAGCTATTATGAAGAGATAGATACCCATAAGGAAATCGGCAACACTCAAATTTCTTGAGAAAATGAAATATGCAAATGAGGATGTTCTAAATGTAGAAATGCTGCAAATCATCGCAATCATGTTCCCGACGGTGGCAAGAAAAGCAATATACCAAATGCCAACATTTAAGACAGGAGCATTGATTAAATGCTCACACGAAGCAATTTCATTTATTGGAGCAACGCAATGCACATCATTACGGCTACGAGGCTTTGCACAGCAGATAGAAAAAGCATCAACTTTAAGGACTTTTAGATCAAATAATCCCCAAAACATCCCATCTACAGCTTTAATTCGATTTTTATGTATATAAAGATATTCTAGATATTCTAGAGCTAAAAACAGTCCTGCTTCAAAATGCGTAATGTCGTTGTATGACAAATCTAGAGTATATAGAGAAATTAAATTGGAAAACGCCATCGCATCAATATCATTTATCCTGTTATAGTTCAAATACAAATAATTTAGATTCTTTAAGGCTATAAAATAATTTTTCCTTATTTTTGTGATTAAGTTACTTGAGAGATCAAGAAGATATAACGATATCATGTCCTTAAATGTGTTGCCCGAAATGTATTCAATAAGGTTACCCTGTAATTTAAGTATTTGCAAGGATGTAGATTCATTAAAATCTCCTTCTTTTATAAAGGGTATAACATTGGAAGAAAAATCAATCTTTTTTAATTTAGCAAGTCGCAACTTTATCTTACTGATATATTTTAAGCCATGATTTTTCATTGAAAAGTAATCACTTTGTATAAAAGATTTTGATGTGGTACCTAGAAAAGAAAATATGTTGTAATTTGTAAATATATTTATAAAACGTATTCCACAGCCAAGACCAAGCAACGCTGATATATGAATAATGTTTGAATAAAAAACATGTGAGTAGTCTTGGGTTACGATATGTATCATTTTCCTATCACACTGAAATGCGATTCGAAAGGGCATATGGTTATAAAAATTATAAAATGTATCTAATGTATATGAACTTATGTCAAAATATTTATCATAAAAGGAAAAAATGGAGGAAACATTTTTTATCAGAGAAAAGCCATCGAAAGAAGATAGAACCAATGAAATCCGTATATTGTTATCAACAAGGTGTATTACAATCCGTTTGATCGTGCAGTTTATTAGTTGCAGCGTTTGTAGTTGCTCTGATGCATTATTCCCTTGAGTTATGGTAAGATTCTCAACAATGGAATCACGGATTGTGATATGTTGTAAAGTTGTCATCTTTTTTTTCATAATCTCAATTGTTGAAATATTTGAATCTACTATATTGAAATAATAGATAGAAAATAACTGGTTGTTAGGAAGAGACACTTCCAAACACGTAAGATTTTGCAATTCAAAAAAGAGATAAAATACTGCTTTGATACTTGAACATTCTTTCCAAGATAACGATTTAAATCGTAGAGATGGATCGCTTATAATACATGTGCATACACTTGAAAATATTGCGCATCTAGCATCATTCTTTATATTTTTAGCATCATTTTGTATTTTATCTTTATCCAGACTTTTTATCTGCATTGCAGGATGATCATTAGAAGAATTTTTCAGTTTAGAATTGGTTTTATTTGCATTGATGCCACAAGAGGGACTCTGTGGGTACTCTGAACTTCCAAAAACGATGGAATTCTTAGAATTATAATTGCCTGAAACAAAAAAAATTACGATTCTTAACTTGTTATTACCTTTTAGTTTAATAGAAGAATAATGAATTTCTTGTTCATTACTGTTCGAAAGTTACATTTCACTAAGATCAATACAACAAAACATATATTGCTTACAATTATGTTCATCACTCCCCTCGCTGCAGTCTCTCTTTCTGTCACAGAACATAGTCCCATTTATACATTCTTTACTTAAAAGACAACGAAACCCTCCATCGTTGCAAATAACAGTTGCTTCAACATACAAAAAATCAAAATAAAAAATGATAGACGTAATTATGCTATATCACTCTTCTTGGATTTGTTCTCTGTAATTATCATATTATATCAGTGCTGCATTGCTACAAGTAAAGCATTAACTTTTAAGAAGAATTGTTGTTTTATAAGTCTATTAGTCCTCTACGGCAGGAGGCTATATGTTTCCTCGGAGACATCCGCTCTTTTAGCTTCTTGTTTGTCCCTTTGTCTATCTGTCAGCCTGTGCCACTTGATAAAGTTAAGATATTCTCATTATTTTGCCTTGTAATCAACGTTTATTGTTAGTAATTAAGCACATACGTTATTTTAAAATTCATAAATGTAAATTTAGAATACCATCGGCAAGTGAGTTTGAGTGAAATATTCTCGAGAGGAAAGTGAAACAAAATACCATCAATCTTAACCTTCAGGCGGAATGTATACATATAATTTTCAGTTGATGCAATGCGCAAGAACCTTTCCCTACGTATGGACAATTGCTAAAAAGTGAGAAACTTATTGACAAAATATGCAAGTTAATGGAACAAGATTATCAGTTGTCTCGTTTAAAGGTATCACGCGAAATTATGTGGTCGATAAAATGACCTTGTCAGAAAATAAAAACAATTTATCATTAAGCCAAATAATGAATGACGTTTTTATACTTATTGTTAGTCCATTACCTACATCCTATAAATTTACGACGGATTTTTCCGTTGTTTATTGCACAAGGAACACACGGCCGCTGGACTGATCGTCAGAAAATGATCACTCATGATCATGAAAAGTAGCATATGTCTTACGTGACAGTCATTGACCGGTCAGCAGAAGGTACTCACTGCTCTATGGCACCCGCTCCAACCTATGGATTTTTCGAAGTCCAGCCATGTTTGCAATTGAATTCTTCCATTTTGTATTGTTTTATGGACTTTTGAACATGAATACTGCTCGTTATTTTCATATGTTTTATGCGACATGCACTTAATTTTCCCTAGTATTTTGAAAAATTAAAAAGATATTTTATGACTTCACTAAGTAATATGTATTCTTAAAGTTTAATGTTATTGCATTTTACCTGAAAAATCGTGTCTGCAACTTACCTGAACAGATACTATTACTGATGTATATGTCATCTAAGAAAGCAAAACTATTTCCATCCATTTGCGTCCTAAACCTTGTCATGAATAGTATCTAAAATAAACATTCTTTCATTCAAACTGACATCAAATCATACAGCCATTTAAGATTTTTTTTGTTTTAAAAATTCTTTTCTGAACAAATGAAATGCAATATTAAGCGTAATGCAGTAATGATATATATTGTATTGAATTGCCCAAAAACATTCAATATCTTATGCTATAATTACATGATTGAAAATTATATAAAACCTCCTTTTTTCAATCTTGAAATCATTAAACTAGGCATAAAGAAGTTTTTTTTTCCTCAAATATCTTAAATTGAATGCAATTCTGTATATAATGCTTTCAAAGTATTAATTGAAGGAATCATTGATATATATATATATATATATATATATATATATATATATATATATATATATATATATATATATATATATATATATGTAAGAGCACTTTGAAGTATTATATAATACAAGCCTTCGATCTTGACATATTTATATCTCAAAAAATGTTGTGTATATTGATGAACAAAGTTAAAGAAAAATGAATGCAAAGAATCCTAATAAACGAGTTTCAAAACGTGTACTTAGAGAAAGTTCGCCAGAAACTATAGGGTAAAAGCAGTTTCATAGGTGGAAAATTGTATATGATATATTTGTTCAGAATCTTTGATTTTTAAATAGAATTCCAATTATATTACAAAAACAATGTTTAACTTTATGTATTTAAAAAAATGAACCGACAAATCTGATCTAGTTTTACATGTAATGGGTAATTATATATATATAATACATAGATGTAGGCGGAAGAAATATGCGGATGTTAGTATTACTTTGGTCATCGAAATTAAGGGAGGACATACATGTATGTCCGAAAAGTCTTTGTGTAAAATATTCAAAACTTTGACATTTCTTTCATGGCCACTTGCTCGTAAGAAGAAGGTACAGTTTGGGATTTATTGCGCACTAAAAATTTAAAAAGTTTTGATATTGGCTTTAACAAGAGTTGAATACGCAGGTAGGTTATCGTTACAACCAAATATTCTACTTGCCTATATGTTATGACGTCATAGTAAGCTATATGACGTGAGGTTTAGAAATAATAAATTCTTAAAATCGATATCTAAGATTGATTTGAGGTCGTAAAAATAAATCAAAATATGCAGAGGCATAATATGAACGGAATTTTGTCGTTCCTGGGTCTCTGTAGTTATCACAGGGGTTACATACCAAACCCGTGACGTCATAACTGTTGATCATGCAGTAGCAGAGTGAAAGTGAAATGTAACGAAAATTGATGTAAACAAACACAAGAAATCGGAGTTTAAAAGCATTTAGAATGAATATCATGTGTGATACTTGTGGGAATAAAGCGTATGAATAAGGTATGGTAATATAATTTTGCAATTTCTTAGTAAAATTATAGCAGGGAGGGTGTTTACTTGCCGATCAGCCTTTCCTCTGTCGTTCGTAGCAAAAAAGATGCAAAAGTTCAATACTACACCGCATACCTTGAAACTTTATTTTTGTTTCTATCTAAAGTTCTTATTCTTTTGGTTTTGGAAAGTGCTGCTAGAATTGTATGGTTTACGGGAATTGATGCTTTTTTCAATGTTATGAACAAAATGTAAAAAATTTTGGGAAGGTTTCGTCCGAAATTGTTGAATAATTATTTCTACAATAGGACAGTACGATTCTGGCAGCACTTTTCATGGTACAGAGATGTTTTACATAACTATTATTACAAATTGAAACTAATTATCCCCGGGGTAGTGTTAAACTTTTCACTTTTACATTAAGGCATATTTTCTAATTATAGACGTCTCGTGGTGACGTTGTGGTGAAGTGCCTCCTGAAGTATAGGTCTCATTGAAGTCTATAGAATGCATATTTATAGCAAAAGTTTTATCCTTGACTTTTCCGATTTATTAGTGTTACATAATTATAAAAAGTGTTAAGTCGCCAAATTCTGATCCATGTGCTGCCTTAACATACCCGTGTAGATGAATATGAAAAATCATTAAAGAATATGGCATGAAGGCTGGCCATTCTGAAAATATGACGTTATTTCTAAGTTTAATGCAGAAAAGCCTCAGAAAGACTCAAAAAGATTTTTGTGCTTATTTTCCTTTAGAAAATAGTCTCTGCCACCGTCGCCCGCTACAATTTTTGGACATGTTATGTAAATTACTTTGAAAAATGACATATCTCAAAATCTCTTTGGGCGACGGTGGCAGAGTATGTTTTCTGACAGAAAAATCCACTGAAAATTGATGTCTTCTGCAACTCTTTAAGAAAAAAAAACAGGAAATTGTACGAGTTAAGGATTTAGATGTATAACAGGGCACTTCCGGTAAAAATGACGGCGTTTGCCGATGATTGCAGATGTCGTAACACTGTTTCTGTCTAAGAGTTATCGACCGTCGTAAACAAGCTTGACTTGATAGACGCTTGCATTATTCATGCCATCAGATGAGAGAAATATACTTAACAGAGGAAGGAACAAATGTTAGATTGATAGAAAACCATAATATAGTAGTTTTGTTAGACAAATTGCTGCATAAACAATCTTTTCAAAGTAAAATACATACTTGGGTTTTTCCTTGTTCTAAAAATAGCACATCTTTTGATGTGTAGAGAAAATGAGGTAATTTTTTTATTTCTTTAAACTATGTAATATTTTAACAGACTTTCGTTATTTCTAGTCGTTTTTCAGTAAACATAGGAAAGAAACAGATGGAAGTGTGCATCTAATATCATGTTAATTCGCTAAACTAGATCTAGACTGCGGTTACAGCTATAGATCAGTACATGTACATTGTCATTCGTTTGCATAAAAAAAATTTTCTTTGAGTTTTCTCTGACGAAAAAAAAAACCAAAACATTTTCTGGACATAACAGATGTTTTTTTGTTGTATAACTACATGACTGTATACTGAGGTTGTGTTTCCAAAATGAAAAAAAAATCTTCCTGGTTCTAAATTAAAAGTTTATGAAATACCCGTAACAGAGAGGAAATTAATAAAATAAAATAAAAAAAAAAACAAAACTCTAAGTACTAAATAATTTCTACTATTATTTAAAAAAAAAGAAAAAAAATAGGGAAAACACATTTTGGTTTTTTGATCTAGGTATTTATTTCATAGAGAAAAAATAAATGGGGAGGGGGGGGGTTGTATCATAATAAATATTTATATTAAATTGATTTCATTTTCATGATTTTTGCAATTCTCTGCCATATGAGGAAAAAATACCATACCTTTTTAACTAACATAAGAACAAGATTACATGTACATTTTTTTTTATCTCCCAGAATTGTTCTTGAACAAGTGTATAAATACTTTTTTTTTCAAGGTTAAAAGGTCAAGGACATTGTTAAAAATGTCATAAGGCTTATCTATTTATGTTGTTTTATACACTTATCAATATATAAGTATGGCATAATCATACTTATAGTGTTGAGAATGAAAAGTTATATATGTGTGTCAGCAAACGGATACAAAAATTGGGGGTAGGGGTAGTAAATGCTTAATTACTCCAAAATATTCTGGTAAAAAATATTTTTTGTATTTTATTTTTGTAAAACATTGATTAGAGTCATTTTCTATCAAAGAAATTTCTAGCCTACTCTTTTCTTTTTTTTAATCAAAAAAATTAATAAATAATTGTTTTTATAAGAAATACACACTTAGCATTGAGTAACGTATTTTAATCTGGAAAATTAATTAATTAATTGTAACTTTTGAAAAAAAGACTTTTATTATGAAGCGTCTATGTTATTTTTGTTAATCTAAAGTAAAATTACAGTCTGAAAATGAGTTTATTTCACAGAATTCCTCTTCTGGTATAACACACCCTTCACTGTTTCTGACAGTGGGGGTATGATTTGAAAATTCTACTTTTTTCAGATATGTTTGGACAAAACTTTATGTAACTTTGGAATTAAAGCCTCAAAACACTAAAGATAAGGAAATATAAAGTAAAGTTTCTTTCTTCAACAATGCTTGTTATACATCTAATACCTTAATGACGTCACAATTGACATTTAGGAGTTCATATGAGGAAAACAATTTGTGTAATCTTACTGCATGGGATCCTTATGATTCAGAAAGAATGAATTTTAATTTCTTATATCACTTTCATATTTTAGATAAATACAGGGCTAAATTTATGTTGAAACTGTACCTCGTTCTTTCAGATATAAACAATGCCTTTATATGCTTATTTTTACTGTGTGGAGCACGAGCAAAAGCAGCGTGCAAAGCTAAAAATAAATAATTTACAGATCGGCAGGCGAAGCACACTCATCAAAGTTAGTCGATCACACCTTTGATGTTTTGGAGGTCCATGTATGCTCTGTTCCTAATTTGTATTGTTATTGGACTTTCTATTTTGAATACTGTTCGTTATATCGTACATATCTCCATATGTACGAATGTAATACGCAAAGAGAAGTGGTATGCCTTAGGAAGGCAATTTTACCACAAACACTGCAGATATCACTATTGTGCACATTCAATGAACTTTAAATCAAGCCATTAAGTTGATCGTCTTTCTCTAGTTTCCCTGATATTTTTATATAGTTATGTCATTAGAATAGTATTGCTCAACAATTTCCACTACATGTTTTGAAATATTTCTGATATTTTTTCTTACATTTCTTTTATTCAGTGTTAATGCCTCTTGGCATATTTGCCCCGTCTCCTTATTTATAATCAAGGCTTTAAAAAGTTGAGGAATAACTTTTGCCTGGCCAAGAATAATTTTGTATATAAAAGACCCAATTTTTTTACCGTATGGTTACCTGAGGAGAGGGAGTGGTCCAAGTAACAGTGGTGTTATTTACCTGGAGATCCCCCAAACCAAAGATGTCAAAAATCTGTGTATACGTAACAATACACAGGAAGTCTGTGTTTGGTAACCAGGGTCAACATTATGTGTTTTGTGTCTGGTTTTGAGTGAAACTACGTAAAACAATTATTTCAATATAAAAATTTATTTGTAAACTAAACGCATTCATCGTAATCATGGTATTGTTTT